CTTGGAAAGGAATCAAAAGAGAAGATTCATCAAAATGGATAGAGTGGGAGAAAAATGTGGAACAAAACTCAAAATCATAAAAAAGACCAGGCTTACTGGTGTGATAGAGACTGGTGAAACTCCCACGACTATGACCCCTAGTCACCCTTTGGGCCTGGAATTGAACTCCTGCGGCTTCCAGCCAAACAAAAGACAGACGAATAAGGTAAACAGTTACACCAGGTAGGTGCACTCCTTAGAATGATCAACCACAGGAGATCAGAAGGGTAGTATTGGCACAGTGAGATATCTCAGAGGGCAAGAATGTGTAGGAATGGAGGACACAGGGAAAAGGTAACCACAGGGATGAAGTGGGAAGAGCTGTTGCATTGTGGGATTACAATCAATGTCATGAAATGAAATGTATATGCACTGTTGTATGGAAAATGAATTTGCTCTGTAAACTTTCACCCAAATTATTTTTACATATATATATGTGTATATATATATATGTTGTTCTTGTTAGGTGCTGTCAAGTTGGCTCAGACTCATAGCAACCCTATGTACAGCAGAACTAAACACCACCCAGTCCTGTGTCAGCCTTATATTACTTGCTATACCTGAGCCCATTGTTGCAGCCACTGTGTCATTCCATCTTATTGACGGACTTCCCCTTTTTCATTGACCCTCCACTTTACCATGCATGATATACTTCTCCAGGGAATGGTCCCTTCTGACAATATGACCAAAGTAGGTCAAACGAAGTCTGGCCATTCTCACTTCCAAAGAGCATTCCAGTTGCACTTCTTGCAGGACAGATTTGTTAGTTCTTTTGGCAGTCCATGGTACTTGCATGGGTAGTATTTGCACAGTGAGATAGCTCAGAGGGTAAGAGTGTGTAGGAACAGAGGACACAGGGAAAAGGTAACCACAGGGAGGAAGTGGGAAGACCACAGTTGAGTTGTGGCAACACCACAACTCAAAAGCATCAACTCTTCTGTTTTCCTTATTCATTGTCCAGCTCTCACATGCATATGAGGCGATTGAAAATACCATGGTTTGGGTTAGGCACACCTTAGACTTCAAAGAGCCATCTTTGCTCTTCAGCATACCAGCAGGGTTATCCATGGTGGACAGGTTTTCAGCAGAACTTCCAGACAAAGACAGACTTGGAAGAATGAAGTGGCCATCAACTTCTCAAAGAATTGGCCAGTGAAAGCCTTATGAATAGTGGTGAAACACTGTCTGATATGTTATTGGAAAACTTTATGAATGGTCCTGAAACATTGTCCAATATAGTACCCGAAAATGAGCCCCTCAGGTCAGAAGGTACTCAAAATACGACTGGGGAAGGGCTGTCTCCTCAGAGTAGAGCCAATCTTGTTGTTGTTGCTGTTGTTATGTGCCGTCAAGTCGGCCCCGACTCATAGCGACCCCTCCTTGGGTTTCCGAGGCAGTATCACTACAGAAGTAGGATTGCCCAACCTTCCTTCCGAGGAGTGGCTGGTGGGTTTGAACCACCAGCCTTCTGGTTAGCAGTCAAGTGCTTTAGCCACTATGCTACCAGAGCTCCCCTGAGCCAATATAAATGACATGGATAGAGTAAAGCTTTCAGGACCTCCCTTTGTTGATGTGGCACAACTGAAAATGAGAAGAAACAGCTGTAAACATCCATTAATAATTGGAACATGGAATGTATGAAGTATGAATCTAGGAAAATTAGAAGTTGTCAAAAATGAAATGGAATGCATAAAGATCCATATCCTAGGGATTAGTGAGCTGAAATGGACTGGTTTTGGCCATTTTGAATCACACAACTATATGATCTACTATGCTGGGAATGACAAATTGAAGAGGAATGATGTGGCTTTCATCATCATAAGGAATGTTTCAAGATCTATCCTGAAGTACAATGCTGTCAGTGATAGGATAATATCCACACGCCTACAAAGAAGACCAGTTAATAATATTATATATGTGTGTGTACACACACACATACATACACACACGTAAGTTGTTATTGCTAATTTTGTAGTAAAGCAAGCTGAGTTTCAGAGAAGTTAAGTAACATGCCCAAGCTCTTTCAGTTACTTAACATATGTTTGTGTCCAGGCTGACTATATATGTTCTTTGCACTGTATGGTGCAGGCCTCAAGAGAAAATAATCTGATAAATTACAAAGATTACGGTGCCTATGTTTAATACGCAATCCCATCCCCTCTCCTCATTAAAACTCAGAAAACAAAATAATGAATCTCTAATTGAGGAATTTCAGATATGGCACCTGTGTTGATACATAAATGTGTACTGTGTGGTGGCAATCAGCCACCCAGCCTTTTAAATCTATTCCCAAACCAAAGCCAAACCCACTACCATTTGAGTTGATTCTGACTCATAGTGACCCTACAGAACAGAGTAGAACTGCTTAGAGGGTTTCCAAGGCTGAAAGTCTTTATGAAAGCAGATTGCTTCATTTTTCTCTTGTGGAGCAGCTGGTGGGTTTGAACCACCAACTTTTTTGTTCTCAGCCGAATGCTTTAACCCCCAGAGTGCCAAACTTACTCCCAAAGAAGGCCTTTGCTTTTCCAAGGAGTATTCCAGAGCTCTCTCGGTTACTCATATGATTACCTCAAAGCAAAGACCAGAACTGTGACCTTCCCTCTGAGAAATAAATAGCATGTGAATTACTTTGTTCCCATTCTGATATCAGGCATACACAGACTGTGCACCCACCATGTGCTTCCTGGGCAAAACAAGCCTATTGATTAGGAAGAAAGATTCGTTAAGTAGCAATGTGACTCAGAGCTCTCCTACTTTCACAAAACCATGACCTGGCATTTGTAGCCAATGATGTGCTCTGGCACTATTTGGATAATGTGAGGTCAGTCTCTGCAGGTGCCTTTCAGTAGCAGCCCACTTAGCTGTGATGTAGAAATCTTCTATGTCTTGCGTTTGAAGATAATACGTACTCTTTGGAGTATTAAGGATGGAAAAAGAGAGTCACTTCCCTAGCTTCTTTCAGATCAGTATCTGTACAGGTTTAGTACTTTCTGTAGGGAGATTTGCTGCTAAAATCACCAACTGTAGAGGAGGTGTAGTAGAGACAAGGTTAACGGGAAAATTCCAAATAAAAGTGGGTTAGCCAATATGCTACATCATAGAAATTAGTTTTTAATTTTCTCTTGGAAACTCAGAACAGTAGTTGTTGGTTGCCATTGAGTCATTCAGACTCACAGCGACTCCAGGTGTTATAGAGTAGAACTGCTCCGTAGGGTTTTTTTTTTGTTGTAATTTTTTAAAGAAGCAGATCTCCAGGACTTTTCTTCCCTGGTAAGGTGGGTGGATTTGAACCACCAACCTTTAAGTTAGCAATGAGCGCAAACCCTACATTAACAATTTGTTGTTATTGTTGTTATGTGCTGTGGAGTCGGACCCGACTCATAGGTGACCGTTCCTTGGGTTTCCGAGGCAGTATCACTACGGAAGTAGATTGCCCCATCTTCCTTCCAAGGAGTGGCTGGTGGGTTTGAACCGCCAGCCTTCTGGTTAGCAGTCAAGTGCCTTAGGCACTATGTTACCAGAGCTCCCCACTGACAATTTAAGTCTCTCCTTTTAGTCCTCTTCCATAGAAACCATAGGCTATTCTTAGAAAGTGGGTACTGGGTTCAATTTTGGTTCTTTCAATTCTCTTGTCTGCCACATCTGAAAAGTGAGACAAGACACGTAAAAGGATGTTTGAGAATTTCCACATCCTGGCTATTCAGGCCCTGAATCACCACCAGTTAACTGCAATTTCGTCCTCAGCCAGCAGCAATCGGAGACTGTTCCCTAGAAAAATTTGGTCCTGTACTTAAAAGGAAGAGTAGTGGGGAGACAGGAAAAGCGGAGGAAAGGAGCGGGGTGAAGGGCGTGGTGGGCCGCTTTCACCTCGGAGTTGGAGGCGTCAAGAGGCTGGACAGCCCGAGGCCGCGAGGCCAGGAATGTGCGGTCTGACCCTCCGGCTGCGAGCGCGCGGCGGCAGTAGCCGCCGGCTGGACGCGGCGCCGCGCACCTGAGCGGCGGGGGCGGGGCGTCTGCCGGGACGACCCTCCCGGGCGGCGCCGCGCCCCTCGCACGCCGCCTCGGCCCTTTCCGCCCGAGCTTCGGCGCCGCTCGGCTCCCCTCCCGCCTCTCGCTCTTTCCCTCCCTCGGTTCCTCCCTCGTCCCCTCCCTCCTGTCCCAGGAAAGCCGCGAGCTAGGGACGGAGTTTGCCGCGGCTTGTTCCGAGCCGGCCCGGGATCGCGCGGCCGCCTCGTTTCACCTGGGCACCCACGCCCCACCTCCCCCGCTCCGTGCTTGTAACCCCAAACGCTTGGAGGTAAGGAGTTGACCCAGCCACCCGCGCTCGAGTCGGTCGCCCGCACTCTGTTCAGCTCGGCGGGACAGCTGGTGTCTGCCAGGGTCCCCCCTCCCCCGCTTGCCCGAAAGAGGCTCCGCGCCTTGTCCCTGAATGGGGGTATTTGTGGTGGGGACCTTGGACCCACTGCGGTCGGAGAGACGGGGCGAGCGATGCAACTGGCCGACAGGTGGCGGGGTCTGGCCCCAGGCCCCCGACCGCTGCTAGAGTTGACCCTGGCGAGCCGGGCCCCTGGGGGTGGGGTCATCTGTCTTCCCTCCCCTTGAGGCGCGGCGATCCTGGGTCAGGGCACAGCTCGCCTCCGGCAGTGTAGGTGCATCTTAGAAGCATTGCCGGGTGGGGACCCAGCAGCAGCTCTTCGGCGAGAAGTGGGCGCGCTTTGTAGGGGCTGGCAGGGGTACGGCCGAGGAGCAGACTTTCAGGCCGGACGAGGACCTCAAGTGTCTCTTCCCCATTCCTCTCTTGTGTTTTCCTCAGACCTGCCAGCTACCGGGGGAGCCGCGGCTGTCCTCGCGCCGTGGGGTCGTTTCCTCGCATCCTTCGGGCAGCGGGAAGGAAGAGGCGGTGGCGGCTGGAGCCGGAGTGGGCGGCCTGAGGTGAGAGGTTGGCCGGCTCCGCTGGGAATATGGCGACCGGTGGCTACCGGGCTAGCAGCGGCAGCACCACAGACTTCCTCGAGGAGTGGAAGGCGAAGCGCGAGAAGATGCGCGCCAAGCAGAATCCCCAGGGCCCGGCCGCGGGCAGCAGCGACCCGGGCGGGAAGCCCCAAGTGGGAGTGCTGGGCACGTCGGCGACTGCCGTGGCCAACGAGCTCAACAACAACCTCCTGGCCGGCGCGGGCGCACCTGCCTCCTCCGGCCCCGGGGGCGTGAACTGCGCCGTCAGCCCCGCCACTCTGGCTCGGGCCGTCCCAGGTTCGCGGAGGCCGGAGGAGGAGCCCCCTGCCGCCGCTGCCCCCGCTTCGGGGCCACCGCCGCCCCGGGGCGATGAGGAGGAGCGGGACGGAGCTCCAGAGAAGGGCAAGAGCTCGGGCCCCAGCGCCAGGAAGGGCAAGGGGCAGATCGAGAAGAGGAAGCTGCGGGAGAAGCGGCGCTCCACCGGCGTGGTCAACATCCCTTCGGCAGAGGTGAGCCCCATCTTGGCGGGTCTCCTCGTCTCTGCCTTCGGGGAGCTCTCGGGTCTCCGGGGCTCGGAGTTTGCTTACTCTAGCTCATACTTCCTGTCCTCTCACCGAGTTAGGCAGGCAGAGAGGGTGATGGAGTTATGCTATGGAACAAATGCTTCCTGGGAAGTTACCTAGAACCAAAGCAGGACACGTGCTTTTCGGACATCCGGACTAAGGGCTTCCGACCCAGGCTGCTTTACAGTGGTGGAAAGACAGTTTGTGGTTCCAGGGCTTACCTACCTAGGCTTGTCTGTTGAAGCTTAATTGGTTAGAGAAATTGATTAATGGTGATGAGGACATATTCATTTAAGTTTCCCACGTTTCTGTCTCAAGTTACCAGATTGCTTAGCTCTTCTTAACTCCTTTGACAGTATTTAATGGCACCTGTGAAGCAAAAGCGGTCTTAGCAATACCCAAGACAGCTTGATTTTGCAATTACCCAAGACGACTATATCCAAATGAGTATATGCACTATTTCATATGTCAGACAATTTTTTTTTTTAAAGAAATAGTGCTCCCAGCATGTTTTCTCTGAGTAATATTTAGTACAATAGGGACATAGTAGTAACCCACAATTTTTTTTTTTTTTTTAGCTTAGATGATCTCTTTTCTACTTAAGTCTTTGGCTCTGTGTATTCTGGAAAAAATTTATCATAGGGTTGCAGCCCCCTCCCCCCCATTTTGGTATTTTTGAACCGTCTCAAAACATTTTTGCAGGCAGCAAACATCTTCCCATTAGAGTGACTGGTGAAACATTTTTACTTAGCGTATCATTCCTTACCCTCAACAAAACAAAACAATCCCAAGTAAATTTTGGTTCCTTTATTAGTAGCTCTCTGGTTTTGGGGAAATGACTCAACTGCTGTACCCTGTTTCACCCAAAGTAGCTGCTGTTTTTTTCTCATTGACTCTTCAGGTATCACTTTTTTTTTTTTTTTTTTTAAAAAAACCTCACGGCCTTATGATTTTTACTCAACTTTGACACTGAGTAGGAGCTCTGGTAGTGTAGTGCCTAAGGCATTTGACTGCTAACCAGAGGCTGGCGGTTCAAACCCACCAGCCACTCCTCGGAAGAAGGGTTGGAGAATCTACTTCCGTAGTGATACTGCTTCGGAAACCCAAGGAGGGGCTGCTATGAGTCGGATCCGACGGCAGTGAGTTTGGTTTTTCGGTTTGACACTAAGTAAATAATTATTAAGAATTTACTAATCTTACTTGTGGTTTTAAAGAAAAACATTTACAGTAAATTAGGGTGTATACCCAAATTTTTAAGTTTTATTGTGATTTACCCAAAATCGAATTTTTCTTTGTAGTGTGTGTGTGTGTTTATTATGAGTGTTTCAGAGAGATTTTTATCAGCCAGCAAAACTGCCCTCTTTGGTTTGCTACTTGCACAAAAGATCTGTTATTCATTAAATTGCTTTAAAAGGAATTCATAAGAGTGGTAATCAAATTTCTACTTTTTTTTTTAAAGTTAAAAATATAAAGGTTAAGGGGAAACTGAAGACAAGACTTTGGAAAAGCTACATTCCTCAACTTTATTTTTAAAAGTAACTGATGGTCCAAATAAAAGAATGTTATTTTCAGTCTTTTTCTCACTTTTCATCTGACACGGGCCTTGTTTTGGAAATTATCTTGGCAGATAATACGCTTCACCTTTTGTCTGACTGCTTGTGCTAAAATTATTTCCTCAAGTAATTATCTTTTTTTTAAAGGGGTAATGTTTACTGTGGTAAAAAAGTGGGGTGTATATTTTGAGATCCTGAGAAACATCCTTTGTTAATACTCCTTCTTTGGATAAAGAAACATAATGCTGAGAATGTAGATTACTCCCCATTACAATTGAGTGTAATACTCTGGAATGTTTTTCGTTTGGGTGTTGGCAACTCCTAAATTTAATCTTCCTTAAAAACAAACAATCCAGGGTACCATTTTTGTCTGTGGAATTTGATCTTTTTTTATTGAATAGGGAGTTGAGGATTGCTTTCTTTAGTGGTAACTATGGCTCTATCTGCTTCATGTGGTCTGACCCAGTAACAGCATGGTAATGTTTTATCACAGTATCTAATTAGCAGGCACACTTCTTGAGTGCCCTCCTCCATGTTCAGTTTTTTAAAAAGAAGTGTTTCAGATTATTTTAATGGCGGCAAAATATATGACACAAAATTTTCAAAGTGTGTTGTTTTCATATCTTCTGATTGTAGCTCTTTTAAAATTGTGTCCATTTCTTTTTGTAATTTCAATAGTGAGAATACCTGTTGTGGAGTTTCTTGTGTATTACAAGCTCTTGTGTATTACAAGTGTTTTAAAAAGTCATATAGCACTTTACAAGTTTTCAGGTATGAAAGTAGTATAAAGCTGGAAAATCTGTTTACAGTCTGTTAGTATGTGAAAGTAGTATTATTTATGTATATTGACTTTTATTTTTACACAGTATCCCCAAGTTTATATTACTGGATAAGCATGTAGCTTTTATGTAGGGTCTATTTTAGCAATTATAAACATTGAGTTCTTTTAAGAAGTGTTTATTAAACACCTGTATTGTTGTTGCTGTTAGGTACTGTCGGTAGGCTTCTCCTCATTGTGACCCTTTGTACAGCAGAATGAACAAACACCTGTGTGACACATTAATTGTGATTTTCATTAACTCATTTTACTAATTACAGATTATTATAAAATTATTGTAAAGGTATCTGACAACAGCTAAATAAACCAAAATCAACTGGAATATAGTTTTAGCAAGTAAGCAGGTCAAAACTGAAAATGACAGGTAGGGATGGAAGCCTGTGTATAATGACTGTAATTAAATGTGCAAATATCACTGATGAAGTAAACTATCATCTTTATATGTTAGATTAGAGATACTTAACACTTTTTTTTTTCTGATTTTTAAACTTTTTTTATTTTCATAATAATAATTAGCCCAAATTGGATAATTTGGATGTGACATACTTCTGCCAATAATTTTTATACTTTCATCAGATCAGTCAGATGTTTATTACATGTTTGTGTTCAAAGCGTCATTGTAAACACTGTAGAGAAAACAAGAATAAGGCAGTGCATATTCTCTCGAGAAGCAAGACTGTAATCTGTAATCTAGGAAGAATGATAAGGCATAATTGTATGAAAAATCTTATGTATTGAGCTAAAAGTTTTAAAGCCATCTTAAGGCAGCATGTAACAAGTGTTAATTAGATACGTCATGTGTTTAAAGGGAAGAGGTGATTGAACTGGGAGAAGCTATTGAGGATAAGGGTCTTGAATTGAGTGTTATTTATATATATATATTTTCGTACTTATGTATTTATACATGTATGTATACATACATACATAGTTTTATACATACCCACTTAATATAGTAAATGATAATTAGTTGTATAGTAGTTAAGTGCTTGGCTGCTAACTGAAACGTTGATAGTTTGAACCCACCAGCCGCTCCATGGGAGAAAGTTGTGACGGTCTGTTTGATTATATCCTTGGAAACTCTCTGGGGCAGTTCTGTTCTCTCCTATAGGGTTGCTGTGAGTTAGAATGGACTTAGTGTTAATAGATTTGTTTTTGTTTTTTTGTATTCATATAGTATGTTAAATGTCAGATTACAGTGGTTAATACTGGTGGTACGCTAATATGAGGATCTTTAAAAAATAACCCCAGCCAAGCTGAGTTTCCTCCTCCATTATGATTTAATGGATCTGGGATATTAATCCCAGGCATTAATTTTTTTATAAGCTCTCCATGTAATTCTAATGTGAGTCAGGATTGAGAACCATTGGGCTAGGGTCTGGGGGATATAGGAGTGAATAAGACACAGTTTTTATCCACAAGGGGCTCATAAGTAATGTAAGGAAATGTGATAAGTACAGTGCAGGGTACCTAACTCAAAGAGGAGATGGTCCTGCCTCAGAAGGCTATCTAGAAACTCAGACACCTGATCTCAGAGTCCTTTTAGAGTTTTTGCCATTGACTAGGCTTGCATGAGGGAGCTCTGGTAGCATAGTGCCTAAGGCACTTGACTGCTAACCAGAAGGCTACCGTTCAAACCCACCAACCACTCCTCGGAAGGAAGATGGGGCAATCTTCTTCCGTAGTGATACTGCCTTGGAAACCCAAGGAGGGGTCACTGTGAGTCGGGTCCGACTCGACGGCACATAATAACATAACAGGCTTGCATGAGTGGATTAATGGAGATGGTTGCCATAGAAAATATAATCTTTCAATAGGTAGAGCTCTAACAGCTCTGAAGTTTTGATTTAAATGATAACAGCATATATTGAAAACTTATTATTTTTATTGTAGTTGGCTAATGTACTGTCTTACTCATTCTCACAACAATCCCATGTGGTAGTTAGAGCTTCTCTTTTTATCTTGCTTTCCAGAGGAGAAAACTAAGGCTTAGCTTAATTGGCTTAAGATCACATGTTGTTATGTGCCATTGAGTCAGACCTGACTCATAGCGACCACTCTTTGGGTTTCTGAGGCAGTATCACTATGGAAGTAGATTGCTCAACCTTCCTTCCGAGGAGTGTCTGGTGAGTTTGAACTGCCAGCCTTCTGGTTAGCAATCAAGTGCGTTAGGCACTACACTACTACACTAGCAGAGCTCCTTAAGATCACATAGAAAGTGAATAAATGAGAGCAGCATTTTAACCATTTTTGTGTTTCTTTGTGTGTGCTTCTAGGGAAAGGACAATTTTTTAGAATTAAATTAATGAACCTTGCATTATTTAGCATATTTTCCTATATTTTTTCCAAAACTTTTTATTAGAGGTTATCCTAAATAATTTTCAACATCTGTATGGGGAAAACAGTGAAAGCCTTCAATTTGAATAGACATTAAGGTCAGATTTGTAGACCCGAAGAGTGCTTCTCACTCTCTAATCTGTAGTTTGTTTAGCAAACTTTTGAACATCAGTCCATCAGCAAAATATAAATTATCTTTGGCTAGCAGTCCGAAAATATTT